GTCCCTTGTCATGAGCATATTTGCCATTTGCCCTAATTTAAATAGCAAAAATATTATAACTACTATAAAACTGAGAAAGAATGTTGTTGGTGATTTTAGCTACACGCAAAAATACGCATCGAACAAGTAATACAGGGATAATAAGTCCAGATATCGATCCCAAAGAGAATATAAAATTGTCTAATCCTAAGCGATAGATTCTACCAATTATCATCAACCCCACTCTACACAGTCGAAAGATGATTGATAACATAAATTAAACTAAATTAAATTAAAGTAAATTAAATAGCAACAACAACCAGAAGACAATTAAACACGAAGATTTATCAGGATAAACGAACCTAGGATTTTATCTTCCCCTATGCGATTAAATCCCCCAATTTCCTCAATTATGCAAGCAATTAACCCAAATTACTAATCGGGGATGCTAAATTAATCGTAACCCGCTTCCGCATGTATTACGATTCTAATACTCTAGATTGAATTCTTGTATTCCTACACAATTGAATTTAGAACACAACACGAGGCACATATCTCGGTAATGACTATCAAAGAGATTAATTATATTCATATGTTAATAGCACAAAGGTTCTTCTACCTTTGTTCTAATTGTTAAACAGATCTTTCGATTCATGCATTCCACAATTAAAAATAAGCACATAAAGTGTTCAGTTTCATGCACTTAATAAAATAAGTAGAAGAAGTAAATTTGAAATTAAAACTTGCATAAAATTATAAAATTGGGTTCACAAATCCCACGCAGGGTTCAAATAAAATCCTAGTTATAAAAGCTTAGCTACTCATAATCAATCTAAAAATCAAATAAACAAAATTCATAAAGAAAGCAAGAAGAGCTATGCTTGAATCTTTGATTATCTTCGTATTCGCTCTAAGATTGCATAAAGGACCCCATTTTTCGTCCTTGGTGTTTTTATTATATAGGGGTCAAAACTTAGTGTAGAGGCAAGAAATTTCTTGTGCAGATAAAACTTCCTTACTGCACTACATTGTCAATTCGGACGACCATCTGAGATTTCAAAGCAATTGATCTCGAACAACCGCCTGGATTTGCGTAGGTTTGTGTTGCCTTCTCTTATTTTGGATTGCCGTCCGGGATGTCAGAGCAATTATAGGATGGTCGTCTGAGTTCTTGATCGCTTTAACTGCTGACTTTTGACTTATCCACTTTTGCCTATATTTTCTTCTTAATTGCTATTTTGACCCTCAATTTGTACATTTTTTCACTTTGTACCTAAAACCCAGTAAATCAAAACTTTAGCACCAAATATCAACAATTTCAAACAAAAATCAAACTTTGAGAAGTATAATAGAGTGTAAAATATACACTTAACACACCCCCAAATTTGAACTTTTGTTTGTCCTCAAGCAAAATCTAGCAATTATCGAAGTAACAAAATACTACATGCATCTCTTGAATTTGGTCTTTGAGTTCCTTTACCTCTAATGGCGCCATGCGGTAAGGTGCCTTCGAGATAGGAGCAGAGCCGGGGACCAAATTAATTTCAAATTCGATTTCACGATCGGGCGGAAGACCGGGGAGATCTTCGGGAAAGACATCGGGAAATTCGCAAACGGTTGGCACTTTGGAAATGTCGGCTTTATCTTCGTTGAGAGTTTCCACTATTTCGACCAAGTGACATAGGTGTCCTTTTTGAATAAGTTTGCTCGCTTTGATGGGGGAAATGATAGGAATCGACGGATTGTAAGAGCTTCGGAATTCGAGAAAACTTCCATTCGGTAAGGAGAAACGAACGGTTTTGTGAGCGCAATTAATTTGGGCATCAAATTTTGATAACCAATCCATTCCGAGAATTATTTCGAAATGTTTAATGGGTAGAATGATTAGATCGGAGGCTAGGGTTTGGTTATGAATCTTAATAGGGAAATCTTTGATGATGGAATTGGATTTAAGTTCATCGCCGGAAGGAATAAGTATACTAAACAAGGCATCGGCTTGACTACGGACTAAACGGAGTTCGGCAACGAGGGTACTTGAGATGAATGAGTGAGTTGATCCAGAATCGATGAGGGCATACACGAAATTATTATAGACATTAACAGTACCTGCGATCATTGACGGGTCGGCTTCGGCTTGGTCTCTAGTCATGGCGAATACTCGTCCCGGCACTTGTCTCGGGGCGATTGGGCAGTCTCGGACCATATGTCCGGGCTTCTTGAATCAAAAACAATGGTTGGTCCCGTCAACACAATTGCCTAAGTGCTCTCGAATGCATTTAGGGCCAAAGGGTTTGTTGCTCGGGTCACGGTCGCTCGGTTGATCGATTGTTTTTCTTTGGCGTTGTTGAGGTTTGGTTTCTTCCATGGTCGAGAAAAGGCATCGTGAAGAGGTCTCCATTGTCTGATTTCCATCTCATCTTGTTCGGTTTCCAAGGCTTTATCCACTACTCCGCGGAAAGTAGAAGCAGAGGTTAGTCGAACGTCGCGCTTGATTATCGGATTGAGGCCCCTTAGGTAGTTTTTCATTTTCTCGGTGCCGTCTTTGGATATGAAAGGTGCGTAGAGGCTTCCTTGCTCGAAACGGCGAGTGAATTCGGCAACGGTTAGGCTTCCTTGTTTGAGTTCGAGAAACTCCTTAAGCTTTTGTGCTCGGACATTCTTGGAAAAGTACTTTTCGAAGAAAAGAACTTTGAAAGCTTCCCAAGTGGTATTTGCTAGATTGATCCCACTCTTTGCGCCTTCCCACCAATTTCGGGCTTCGTTCTTCAACAAGAATAGTGCGCAATGGATTCGATCGTTGTCGTTCATCACCATGTATTCGAAGATGACCCCAAGGGATTTGATCCATTCTTCGGCAACAGTTAGAAAGATATACTTTTTTTCTTTTGTTATAAGAGTTTTTAAAATTATTTGAAAATGCCCTAGAATAACACATAGTTCTCTTCAAATATCACCCCTTTATGACAAAAGCCACATGGAATAAATACATATACATCTAAATTTTCCCTCTAATAAATTGCTCAAGTACATAAGAAGTCTTGTACCATTTCAGTTAATTATATCATTTAAATTTCATACTTCATAAATTAAATATTTACGTTCTTATAGTAAATAACGTAAATATTGCGATTTTAATCATCTTTTTATTGCCTTGAAACATTAGTTTTAATAAAATCTCTTGTATTTTTTATATAATTCACTTAAAACTTATTTCTTATAAACGGTAAATATATACTCCTGGATCTGATATTTCGATTAACTTTTTAAATGAGCTTTGTATGATTTTTGTTTGATATTTCGATTATTAAATGAGCTTTGCATAATTTTTGTTTGAAATATATTAAAAGTTAACGATCATGATTTTTCACTTTTTCGCATTCATCCCTTCGTTAGTTTCTAATTGATGCACATTTCTTATAGCCATAAAATTGTTCAATAGTTCTCGTCCATTCATTCGGATTCTTAGATGCTGTCACAATTCATAAACCATTTTCTTTCATTGGTTTGGAAAAAAATCGATTAGACATATGGACGGTTCCTAGTAAACCCGAGTAAACAAACCCGTATTTGAAAAATTATATTTAGAAAAGAAAGAAATATACTTTAAATCATTAACATTAATATCGAAAAAAAAAAATTCAACATATTCATTTATTTATCTTTTTGCAATTTTCGAATTTTGGAGAGATTCTAGGATAATTATATTGAAAATGCATTTGGATAATAAAATAGTCACCTACGGCCCTGTTTGGTTGGCAAGATAAGATTAGCCAAGATAAGATTAAATAATCCAATGAGATCCAAATATTTTATTGGAGCTTGAAACGTCAAAAAAAAACTCATTAGAAGGCAAGATAAGCCAAGATAAGTTATGATTATATAATTTTGGTGGGTCGACCCGGCAATTTATTGAGGATATCAAACATCAAATTTAAGTCTAACTATTTAGTTAATCTCATAGCTTATCCTGGCAACCAAACGGTATATTATTATAGGCCCTGTTTGGTTGGCAACATTAGTCAAGATTAACTAAATAGCAAGGTTTAGTTTGATGTTTGGTTAGTCATATTATTTTCCGGGTCGACCGGTCAAAATATTTTTGTCATGACTTATCTTGGCTAATTTGAAGATAACTAATTGAATCTTGAGAGATTCAATAAAATTATTGTGTTGTGCTATGATTAGATACGTTAATGACTAAATTGTCCTTCTAGCTTTCATCTATTTATCACAATAACGTATTCAATTATTTAAAAAAATAATAATAAATACAAAATAAAAACAATAAAACTCCAAAAAAAAAAAAAAAAAAATCTAAAAACAAACCTCAAATCATTTATCATTAATATATTAATTCGTCTTTTAATCCCTAAACTAAATGTAGCATCATCAAGACTGCAATTTGCAATAATAAAGAAACAAAAGAAAGGTGGAATAAACCTACCCCAAATGATTCCACGCAGATAGGAATCAAAGCAAAGCATATAAAATAAGTCGCATCAATTCCACATTCGTAAAGAAGAAATCAAATAATTCATCACCTACTCGTATAAACTATATTTTAATTTTACACCTTTTCTTTATATATAAAAAAAAAGGAAATTAAAAAAATAAAGAACAAATTGAGAATTCAAACTTTTACTTCAAAAAATAATTATTGGTTGTGTCAATTAATTACATGTGTTGGATTGTGAATGGTGAAAATTGTGTTAGTTAAAGTTGAGCCATTCATTCAAGTCACATTCACTAATTAGTATTCCGCTAAATACAAATTGCACTCATGTATTATTACTACTGTCGCATTATACCCCTCAATACTACAAAATATGACAATTTGGCCCCTATCGAGTATCGGCAAACTATATTAATGAATCCGTCAATTTTTAAAATTGGTCGACCACTGCAGTAGATGTTTGGACGAAAATACCCCTCTTACCTCCTTAGCCACTAAGCAAAACATTAAATATATGCAATTTGTGACAAAATATCTCACCAACTCAGCCTCCTTAGACATTAAGCAAAACATTAAATATTTAGTTTTATAGCATTTATTCACCTCAAAACTAATGCATCACTATCAAGTAAATAATACACTTTCCTAAGTTAACAAAGAAAATAAAAAATTAAAACGGATTTTCTCATTTTTCACCATGAAAAATTTGACTTTATTTTGCTGAAAAATATACAAACAACAAAAAAAAAATGACTTTGGTTTGAATCTCCAAGTCATAAAATGAAAAATTGATTACAAACGCAACAAAAATTGAACATTAAAATATTTAAAAAAAAAACAAAAAACAAAAAGAGTTTTACATATTCGGATTACGAATATTAAAAAAAGAGTAGAATACAAATTTTCACCTTTTTTTTATTATTTCCTTACTTCGGACTCCAAAGACTCCATAAACGCGAACTAAATATCCCCATGACGTCCGGCAGCACTTTTCTAGCCAATCCCTTGTGGTTCCGCACAACCACCGCCGGCGCCGCCACTAATTCATCCGCCGGCGCCGCCACTCCCACGTGCCCACTAAACTCCTCCCCAACATCAACACTCTCCTCCGGCAGAACAACACCAAGGGTTTCTTGCGACTCAACCGCCGGAAATTCAGGGCCGCCGCCGCCGGCGGCGGCGCCGCCGCTTAACCTCTCACTCTTCCGACGACCCATTCTATCCTTCCTCTTATTCCGGCGGAAACTGAGCAGCTCGCCGTCGTTCAGACGGTCGTCGAAAGACTCGATTGCTTGGTGAATGAGCTCGCGGTTGGGGGAAGAATCCCACCGGAACCAGAAACTGGTGTAGCAGTGGAAGCAGTCGCAGTCGAAGAGCGGCGGCGATTTGCCGTCGAAACTACACCGTTTGGCGGCGGCGGTGGTGGTGGTTTTCTTGTCTTGGGAAGGAAGGAAGGAAGGGTTTGTGGATTTGAGGGATCTTGTCACCATGTAGGCGAGAACTTCTCGGTCTTCTAGAGAGAGAAGTGAAACTAGAGAGAGAATCGCCGCCGGCAGTAGGTTTAGTACAGAGAGAGAATCGCCGCCGGCAGAAGAAGTGAAGGGATGGACTTTGCCTTTGTTTCTTTTCATTTTCATTTGATTTTGTTTGTGTGGAGAAAAGTGGTGTTCAGAAAGTTTGTTGTGATACCTAATTAATTGGAGGAGTAAATGAGAACTATTTATATTTTTGGTGGTGTTTTTTCAAATAAAGAAAATTGAAGGGGGAATAAAAGAAAATAATAAATAGGTGAAATAGAATTGTTAATAAGGGGTTGGTCATACTTGATTATAGAGGTCTTAGTTATGGATGGGACAATAATTTTTTATTCCAAGTGTGAGATAAGTGTTTTATTTTATTTTTTATTTTAATTAATAAAAGATGGAAATATGACTAATTCATTTTTTTTAGGATGTAACTTCTCTTAGGTGTCGTCGCCTATTCTTTTATACTGAAATGTTAAACGTCGTTTTAATTTCGTAATTTCGATTTTTTTTGGGATGTGATTTTGACAAATTGCAAGTTTGATTTTGACAAAATTCAAAATATGGAACATGTTATGAGTTTAGTGATTTCCAACTCAATTTCAATCAGCTAAATTGGATTTCGGTATTTCGAATTTTAGATCACTTGAAAAATTAAAGTTATGTGCAATGTTTATAATTTAGAGTAAACTGTAAAAAGTATCTCTATGTAATCTCCAATTAGCAAAAACTGTCAAAATAATTAATTTTATAATGTAATCTCTGTGACAAATAAACTAGCAAAAAATCCTTGTAAAATTATTTATATAACACACTCAACCCATTATTCATTTGAGTGTTGACTTGATATAAAAAGACACAAATACCCCTTGAGTTTTATAATTAATAAATTCTTATATTTTAAATAAAAAATTAATTATTTTATTGTATATTTTTTATAATTTTTCAATTTTTTAATTGTTTACTTTTTTTAATAACATTTTAATTTCTAAACAATCAAATTAAAAAAAACATGTATCTACATATAAATACGTTTTCGGGGTCAATTTCGTCATTTGACGTCCAAAAACCAACTACAGTTAAACTTCTATAAATTAATACAGTTGGGACCATCAAAATTTCATTAATTTAGCGAAATATTAACTTATCGATAAATTAATAATTATTAATTTATACATTAATTAATAACTTATTAATTTATGAAATTATTTTTATTATTATTTTCAATAAATACATTTTTTTTCAAAAACAATTACGTGTATATATTCATTATACCATTAGTTTAATGCACTGTAGAGCCCGTTTTACGAACGGAAGCTCTTAAAACAGCAATGGTATAGAACAATTAATGTTGAACTATGAGAAAACCATACCGAAAGTTCTAACTATGTTAAGAAAAGCGAGGGACGAGATTGATGGTAATGTGAACTTCAACAAGAAACAAACGAGAATTAAATTATATTGTATTAAGCCTTCATAGATCTATAAAATATGTATTGTACCATATAATTTAAGAATTATTTTTATGCATTATTAATTTATATATTATATGGGGCTTCTTAAAATTTTCGAATGTGTACTATCTTATAAATTTAGCGAATTATTAATTTAGCGCGTTGTCCCCGAGTTGGGACCGGGAAAATTTATTATTTAAGCGAGGTTATTAGTTTATCGGGTATTAATTTATCGAGGTTCTACTGTACCAGTCGCGCTTCCCGCGAGTGAGCCACACAAAAGTCAACCAGGGGATTTTCTGCATTTGACTAAATTTCACAGGGGTTTTTTGTAGGGTTTTTTTTTGCATTTAGCGATTACACATGGGTACTTTTTGCAGTTTACTCTTATAATTTATGCATATTTTTGTCACCCAACATCCGCCGACGAGCCCATGATCCCCGCTGCCTCACGCGCCGCCTCCGGGGGACAGAACAATCAAAGGTCTTTTTATCCGAGCAGGCCCACGCCCAAGGCCCAATTTCACGGGGGCCCAAATTTTCAATTTTTTAAATATATATATATATATATATATATATATATATATATATATATATATATATATATATATATATATATATTATATTTTTTTATGTGCAAAAAATATATTGTTTTATTTAAGGGTGAGCTAGTTGGACCCTTCAACCCGTCAAACCGCTAAAAATCGTCCCGCTAGAATCGGACGGATGGATCTAGGGGTGTGCGGGGGTCGTAAATCCGCGGGTTCTAGCAAAACTCGCTATCGTCCCGTCAATCAACGGTTCTTGATTTTAAGGAACCAAATTTATGGGTTTTTTGCGAGTTTAGATTAGACGGGTCTAATGCGGATTTAAAGTAGAACCCAACCTTCACGGGTCGAAACCCGTCGTAATTTAAAAAAAAATATTTTCTTTAATAATTTATAAGTTTTACGCGAAATTATTTAGAAATTAAAATGAATGACCAAGCGTAAAATTTTAAATTGAAACAAACGTGACTACATCAATGATAAATTAAATGTCACGAGTAAATCAAAATTAATACGTTTTAACCATAAATTCAGAAAAGAGTAATTAAATTTAAACATTTATGAGACAAGATTTAAAATAAAATAGATAACCATAGACAAAATGAGGCGATGTCGTTATAGATATATAAATTTTGACATGTAAGAGATACTTTATTCATGTATTATACATTATTAATTTATTAAATACATAATATAAACAAAACGACATCGTTGTGGATAGCGGGGCGGGACGGGTTTCACGATTACTAATTTTTTTTGAACCCGTCATAGATCCAAACCCGCGGATCTTGTCCGTTTCAGGACTCAATCCTATAGATAGATCTATCCGTCCGGTCCGGTACGATTTTTACCGGGTTTGTTGGGTTCAACGGGTTGATGGGTCCGACTTGCTCACCCCTAGATGGATCTATCAATAAGATTGAGTTCTTAAATGGAGAAGATCCGCGGGTTTAGATCTGAGACGGGTTTAAATCTTTTTAATACTCGTGAAACCCGTCCCGTCCCGCCATACAAAGCGACGACGTTTTGTTTTTGTTTTTTTTTTTTTTATATTATGTAGTATAACTAATTAATAATATATAATATATGAATAAAATATCTCTTACATATCAAAACTTATATCTACAACGACGACATCGTCTCTTTTTATATATCTTTATCTATTTCATTTTAAATTTTGTCTTATAAAGCTTTGGATTTAATTACTTTTTTTTAATGGATTTATGATAAAACGTATTATTTTGATTTACTCTTGATATTTATTATTAATGTCATTCACATTGGTTTAAATTTAAGATTTTACGCATGGTCATTCATTTCAATTTCTAAATAGTTTTGCGTATAACTTATAAATTATTAAAAAAAATAACATGTTTAAATTATGACAGATTTCGACCCGTGAAGGTTGAGTCCTACAATAGACCCGCCATAGACTCATCTATCCTAAACCCGTTGAAAACCCGCAAGTTTTCTAAACTTAAAATCAAGTGCCCTTGATTGACAGGACGAGGGCGGGTTTTGCTAGAACCCGCGAGTTTATGACCCACGCAGACCCTGGTTTTATTGTTCAAAAAAAAAAAAATTCTTCTATTTAAAAAAAATAAAAAAAAATTACTCTTCTATTCTTCTTTTTTTTTTTATTAATTTATTGTAAAAATAGATATGAAATTTAATGGGTTTTTTTTTCTAACATTTGCTTTACTAGAAAGTTTTTTTTATCTAAACATTAATATTTTCAAACTTCTATTTATGAGGTTTCTATTAATAAATAATTTATTTATATTATTTGATTAATCTTAAGATGCGGAAAAAAAAAATCCTGACGTTTCCCCAAAACTACCGAACAATTATATTCTCGCCCCGGGCCCCCGAATACGCCGGACCGACCTTGCCTCCTCGTCTCGTCGATTGATGAAAATAAAATTTTGAAATATTTCATAAATTTCAATTTTTAATATATATGATAAAATGTTTTGTTCTTTGTGAAATATTTGTGGATGTTGATTATATGATTCAATTGTGTAATTATGTTTCGACTTATTTGTTATAATTTAATTTTGAATCAAATTGTATCCATGCCCATTCGTTCGGAAGCTATTAAGGTCCTCAATTAACTAATATATGCTCGTATGATAGAATTGACAATTATGTAAAAAAAAATTATTTCCATTATGTATACATGCATCGATTTCCAACAGTCATTCCAGAACCAAAAATTTGTATTCTTTCAAGATCCAAGGCCTGCGAATTGGGAGATTGGCTACCGGTAGGCCTCCACAACGCTAATTTTTTTAAATATCATTTGTGTTGTATTGTTGTAGACACGTATCGTAACAAGTAATAATAATAAACTCGTGCGAGTCGGGTACTGTCCAGACATGGAACAAGTTGTTTTTATACTTCTAAGTACCTAAATTGTCAATAGTTTTATCCAGGCAACAAAATTGAATTTTCAGTTCTTCTACAACTATGAAAATCGAATAAAAGCAAAAGGCAAATAAAGGAGAAATTAATTCAATTGGGAAAAACAGTAGGGTGTCGTCTTTCCCTATGTGTACTTGATGGAAGTAAAACCCCTAATCATACAAGGTAATGGATTATTTTTTGTTGAAAATCGATGCACGTATGCACCAGAGCAAATAATTTTTATTTATTGAATACGACAACTCATGAGATAATGCATACGAGCATATTATGATTAATAGCGTACCTTAATCGCTCTCGCGTTAACAAGCATATATATTTATTTTATTCAAAACTAAATAAAAATATTTGAATCATACAAGCATATATATTCATTTTATTCAAAACTAAATAAGAATATGTGAATAATACGTATGAACATGCTTCACAAGTTCGTGCATTAAAATCAATCGAACTGATCAAGCACGCTAGGGATTTCACATAATAAAATCGGGTCAACAAATTTATCGCAAGTATTTAATCAAGTAGTCAAATTAATGATTATTAACTACAAGGATTCCCAATCTACATTCGAAGCGTGAGATTTTGAGAGGAAATCGGATCAACAAAGTCTTTTCTTTTTATTCGAAAAGAGAGAGACATAAATTCATTGGGATGTACCACCAAACCAAGAACTTTGAAGCCTAATTTGCTGCGAAATGTACTAATACTATTTATCATGGGTAATTCCGATAAAATAATCAATCATATAACCCCCATCCACAAACCGAAATTAAACTCAAAACTATACTAATTCACTGTTCGGTGATAAAACAACCCGACTACTACCCGTTTATAACAAGCTAAACCATTATAAACCAAACAACAAAGTTACAATGTGCATGATTATATATATATTATATATGATTCCGGAAACAAGTTAAAACATCTTACGTACGATTGCAGCAAAATAAAACCACCGATCGATTAATCGGCCTTCTTGTCGGTTTTTTGGGAGGCAATATTCGAAGCCGACGAAGAGGAATGCTTATCTTCGGCCATCTTAGCATGCATTTCATCTCTCTCTCTGAAATACTTCTCGAACGCCCGGGGCAGAAATCGAGGTAACAAAAAACACAACAAGTTCACCGCGAAATAGCCCAGGTTCAAAACCGCCAAACCCCTTCCAAACCAATGCCACGCCACAACCTTACCAAAAAAAGCACACACAACATTAATCAAGTACGGAAATCCAAGAATTAAAAAATAAATAAATAAATAAATAAATAAATAAATAAATAAGCATTATATAGTAGAACCTCGATAAATTAATAACCCTCGATAAATTAATAACCTCGCTTAAATAATATTCTCTCCTCCCTCCGCTCCTATTCCTAAATAACATTCCTATTCCTAAATAAGTGTCACTTTTCAAATTTCACAATTTCACTTTCCACAAAGATTATGAAATTCAACAAATGTAACTTGATTTTACGAAAATCACATAAAAACAACTAAAACAACCTTTAACAATTAATGATTTATAAGGGAGAACTAATATTTAGGGATGTATTAATAAGGTTGACAGAAAAAATTGCATTTAATGCAATATTGAAAATCTGAAGTGACGGATAATATAAAACAAAAATATTTTAGAAAAGAGACGATTATTGTGGAACAGAGGCAGTAGTTTTTTCTAGTCCCGACTCGGTAAAAACCTAATTATTAGTTGGATAATTTAATATTTCGATAAATTAATAGAATTTGGTTAGTTCCGACTATATTAATTTAAATATAGAAGTTTAACTGTATATATAATAATATTACGTGTAATTCTGCATTGGCGGGGAGGGTTTTGTTGAGCCACACATCCTTGGTCCAATCGAGGATGACGAATATCCGGCGTACGGTGTAGATCAGAGGCACGAGCGCTCTCACCGGCGGCGAGAATAGAGATAGGCCGCCGATTATATTCTCCGTCAGTATCTGAAACGACAGCAGGAATAGGTGCGGCGTCGCCGATCTGACGGCGTGCTCGTCGCCTCTCGCGAATCCGCCGAGGACATACGCCAGCGGCAGGAACAGCCCGATGGTTGTTCCCACGATCACGTACAGGCGGAACAGCCGGCTGCCTTGGAATATTTCAGGGGATCCGCCGCCGCCGCCGCCGCCGAGCGACGGGAAGACGAGCCTGGAGAGTACGAGGATGTAGGCGGAGGCGAACGCCGGGAAAACGAGGTCGATGAGCGGGACGAGGCCGCTGGCGGAGAAGACCATGATGAACGCCACCAGCTGCAGTTCTATCACGCGGAGGGAACCCATCACCCCGCCGCCGCCTAACGCCGCCGCGTCGTGGCGGCGTTCTGTATTTGTTGTCGCCGGCGGCGGCGGAGGAGGGGACACGGCTAGTGATACGCCGGACATCGAGTGATTTTTTGGATTTAATTTCTGCAAAATTTGCTGTAATCAGTGGCGTGAAAATGAATTAATTAATTGGAAAGAACAATCAGAAAAAAAAAAAAAAAAAAAAAAAAAACAAGTACCAATTTTTGAGAAATAATAAGATCCTAGTAAATAGCGAAAATAAAGAAATTAAAATTTGAAAAATAAGAAGAAGAAGTATTGATCAGTTGGCGAGCACCGAAAGAAAAGAATTAACGTTGTTGGAGAAAGTGCCACGTGGAGGAAAATAGCGGAACATGTGTTACTGGTGATACGTGGCAGCGTTTCAGGTTCGGTTTATTATATATGGGTTTTTTGTGTCCATTTGTAAATATTCTGGGGTTTCTTTTGAAATATAAGAAGTATTGGGCTTGTTTCTGTAGGAAATGGGCCAATTTAATTGGAGGTTGGACCTAAATTAACAAAATGTGAGGGAGAATAGTTTGAATAAAACATGGTTCGAATTTAGTATTATAATTTAAAGCTGCTCCTATATGTAATACTAATTTCATTTGTACAAGATCAAATTAAAGAAAGATTCTTATAGATTCAATTTTATTAAGATGAAATGACAAATATACCCATAAATTAAATTGGTTTTTATTTGCTCATGCAAGACCAAATAACAAATAATGCCAAAAAAAAAAAAAAAAAGAAAAAAAAACGTAAAATTGGAAAAAAGAGAAAACCCAACCCCCCGTGAAACCCTTCCCGTCAACATAGCAGCAATGCCCAGCTCCTCGCCGACCGCCACCGCCGCTATAGCAGTCAATTGTTAATTCGTCATTTTGTTCAATCTTCAAAAAAAAGAAGAATTTTTTTTTGAAACTAGTAAAAATCGACACCAAGGTGTTGAAAAGCTATGCTACAAATCGACACTTAAGCGTCGAAAAAAAAGACCCAAATTCGACCTCAAAAGTATGTCGAATTTTAAATGTAAAAATCGACATTGAGATGTCGAATTCATAGCACAAATTCGACGTTGTAAAATGTCGAATTTTATGCTCCAAAATCGACGTCTCAAAGTCGATTCTTACCTGTAAAATTCGACCTGTACATGTCGACCGCGTCTGTGTGGGATTTGTTTTTTGAAAAACGATATTCTAGCTAAAAAAACACATAAATGCATACCTTCTTGAGTTCTTCCACCTTAGAATCTTTTATTTTGATGGCTTCTGACTCCATATTTGCCATCTTTGTAAGATTTATTGAGTTTTAATGATTTTGAATGTTTAAGTTTTGTTGGTTTATGGAGGAGGAAGGAGAAAGATTTTGTGAGTTTTGGAAGGTGGAGAAGATGAGAGTTGGTCTTGTGGTTTAGTGATAGAGTTTTTTGTGTTTTTGAGTTTTTGGTATTGCACATTTGGAATTTTCTATTTTTTTAACAAGTAAGAGTATTATAGTATTTATACGTTGAAAAAAAATTAATTTGGTCTTGCATAAGTGAAATTAGTTTTGCATATAGCCGCAGCCTAAATTAAAATATAACCTAAGAATTTAATTATTCTTTGAAGTGAAAATCAACACTTAAATTTCCTTTTTTTTTTTGGATTTTAGAATTGCCAAAGTATGCTACCATCAATTAGTCATTACGATTTTTTTATTTTTTTTAGGGTAAATTACAAACACCCCCATGAGATATGGTTAAATTACAAAAACACCCCTCTTGTTTGGATAATTACAACCATCCCCTCAACTCCTCAAATTTAGTGGAACCTTCGAGATTATATGGAATATTATCACTTGTGTACCCGTTTTATCCCATTCAAACTCTACATTATGAAGCAAGATGATCATAATATGCGATTTTTAGCTTGTATATATCAGTTTGTGGTGCATCAGAAACTGTATTTTTACATAAAACGAGTACAAACTAGAGCACATTCCACGGAATCTAGATGATTATGTTGAATTTGGCACAATAAGGGTGGAGGTGTAAGAAAAAATCATAGTTGAGGGGGGTAGATGTAATTATCCAAACAAGAGGGGGATTTTTGTAAATTGACCATACCTCAAGGGGTGTTTGTAATTTACCCTTTTTTTTAAGTAGTATTCAAACCCTGTTACACATTACGATTATTTGATAAGTATCGTAATTACGAAGACATTTGAATTTTGTTACATTAATTGTATAATTTTAAGAAAAAAAACATATTGAATAATGTTTTTTTTTTTTTTGAGTAAATATTGAATAATGTTTTTATGTAAAACAAAAGAAAATAGAAGAAAATGTTTTTATGATAATGTAAGTCTGTGTTGAAGATTATTTTAATCCAATTTCTATTTTTTTTTACCCAATCATATATAATCTAATTACCTCTAAGGGAACTGTATAATGAGAGAAGTACAATAACATTGGTGAATGCCCAATATAGAAACTAGAAAATCAAACAAAATAATATGATGACAATTAAGTTTTACCAAATACTTTCCTATGTAAAGAAACCTGCATTCGTAGTAGGAAATTAATTACTTTTGGAACATATTAACCTCTCAAGTGGTCTTTGCAAAAGTTTTTGTAAAGTGATTCTGAGTTTTTTTGGTTTCAAAATCACTTTTGATGCAATGTTATTTTTTGTTTCTACTTCTTAAAATAAGTTTGTTTTAAGGTTAAAATATAAAAATTAAAGCACCCCTAATTACCAACTGCTCCTAAAATAAGTTGATGGAATTGATTACTCCTCGAGTTTGCAAACATCTTCAACTTTTAGGTTTTATCTATTCTACACCCGGTGAAGGTTACACTGGGTGATTTTTTACCGTTGATCTACACGTACCAATGTGGGTGTGTGTGTGTTTGTGTGTATATGAATGGAAGATCTACCGGGTGTATTCACCCGGTGTAGGATCTCAAAAGCCCAACTTTTAGAAATCAACACTTCTCATTAACTTATTTTTAATCACCTACTTCTACTTTTTTAAAAACTTTTGCAAACACCGCCTTAAAGTTGAATTTATTCTACTACACCAAGTAAAAATAACCGTTAAATCATATCAACATAACCAGCCATTTACTGCAAAAACACACACATCCATATTGTTGTGTAAATGAACAGTGATGATATACTCAATAAAATTCAAGCAATGTAGCATAAAATACACCCATTCTTTTTTTAGGAATACCCCCTTTTCACAACCCTATATATGAAAATATCCATTTTCTTAGGAAACTTCATAAAGACAATAGATTATCTATTTTTAGTTAATTAATTTGATTTGCCCAAATCAAATTTCCATTTTCTTGCTACATTAGGCTGCTCATGCTAATACAAATATACAACTACCAAATCATGTCAGATACCTACCTACCATTTCCACATGAGGAAAGAAAGAAAATAAAAAAAAGAATTAACATAGAAATAAAATTATGAAACTTAAAGCCCACAATCCTCTCTCTTAAATATACACTTTATACTTCATTATTTAAAAAAAATTATATTAAACTTAGGGTTAAGTTTCCTATTAAACTTACTATTTTTATTAATAACACTAATTAGGAAGGCAGTTGAAGCCAGAAAAAGATGCATTTTTTGCATGCAAAATTCACTATCATTGACTATACACAGAAAGACACAAAGAGCAATTATTTCGTTCTATATATATATATATATATATATATATATATATATATATATATATATATATATATATATATATATATATATATATATATATATATATATATATATATATATATATATATATATATATATATATATATATCTCATGACCTCTAGCATTTGTATAATTTGTATCACCTGAACAAATATTCTTCACAACCATGGCTAAGGTATAAACCTCTCTGTTTTCTTGTCATTATATATACATATGTATGTATGTATATATCAATGTGTGTACGTTACTATGTTTTTCAGCACAATTATTCTAATGTTATGTGTTTTTCCACAAACATTTTATAAATATATGTGTGTGTATTTTTTCCACTAATTTAATTTGAATATTCGATCATAATTAAATGAGTGTGAAAACAGAGGAAAAGCAGGAACCAACGGAGGCGCGAAAAGCTACGTCGCGAAAGCGAACAACAGAACAACAATTGTACCGAAGAAATATCGAACGACGAGAACCGAAACAATAATAATAATAATCCGGACGGAATTATAATTTTGGGTGTTTACATTCACTGCGAAGGCTGCGGAAATCAAGTCATAAAATCTCTTCGCGGCTTCGAAGGTTCCGTTAAATTAAAAATTATTATTATATTAATATATCACATTCACAATATTGAATTCTTGAATTTCGGACAAAGTTTTAATTTCTTGAACAATGAATATTTTATTTTATTTTTTATGTGTGTGTGTGTGTGTTTTTTAGGTGTGGAGGAGATTGAAATAGATGACAAGAATCATAAGGTAATAGTGAAGGGCAAAAAAGCTGATCCAACAAAAGTTGCTGAGAGATTAAGGAAGAAAAGTGGGAAACATGTTGATTTAATTTCTCCCAAGCCTAATAACCAAGTGGAGGAGGAAAAACCTGAGGTATTTTTTAATTAATTAACTACGTGCTAGAAAATTCGAAACATTTATAATACGATATACAATCAAACCTCTATAAATTAATACAATCGAGACTAGCAAAATTTTATTAATTTAGGAAATATTAAATCATCAAACTAATAATTTAGTTAGTTTTTACCGAGTCGTGACCAGAAAAAACTATTATTTAAGCAAGATTGTTAATATATCGAGTATTAATTTATTAAGGTTCTACTGTATATAAAAAATCCCGATTATTTGTTCCGATTAGGTGAAGCCCGATTTGTACGAGGTGATGCTGAAAATTTATTTACATTGTGAGGGATGTGCAAAAGAGGTGAAGCATTGCATCCATGATATGGAAGGTTAGTAAATAATTTTTTTTTTTATTTTATTTCTAACATGTGGAAAATGTGTGAGAAAATGAATAAAAAAATAAATAAAATGGGTAATGATCCGGTACATGGTGGTGCAGGGGTGCATACGGTGGACCCGGATATGGAGAAGAATCTAGTGTGTGTGAAGGGAAGAATGGACCCTCAGAAGCTGGTGGAATTCATAAGCAAGAGAGGTGGAAGGAATGCAGAGATTGTGAATAAAATTAATTTGAGAAGGGAAGAAATTAGCGACGAAAGAGAAGATATTTTGTACCAAAACTACCCTTCTCAAGCTGTGTATGCACCTCAATTATTCAGTGACGAGAATCCTAATTCTTGTTCAATTATGTAATTTTATTAGCTCGTGGGATTGTGTCTTAGTTATATTTCCACTTTGGATAATGACATTTGCTAATAGAATGCTATTTTGTTTCATTTACATTATTTCCACTTTGAATATTTTTTTTGTTTGGGATTGTTTCTAATTATATTGTTTTTGCATTTTATTCATTTGAAATAGAGAAATTATCGGGGTTAGCTTAGTCAATCCGTGTAAGTTAATTGTCGATTTCGAAAAGAAAGGGCAGCGTGCTTTGTTAAAAAAAACTTAGGGGGATTTTCGCTAAATATTTTAGCACAGGAGCTTTTTTGATAATTTAATATTATACAGGGGGTTATGTGCAATCAACTCGAGAAGAACAACTAACTTTTTTTATTAAACCTATGGGTAGGGTGAAAATTGGAACAAAAATTCCGATTTTCGTCGATTGCGGTCCGAAATTTCAGATTATGTAATAATATTTTTCCAAATTTGGATTGGAATTGGAATATATATATATATATATATATATATATATATATATATATATATATATATATATATATATATATATATATATATATGTATTCCGATTTCTGATCTGAATAAAGTTCCGAAAATAATTCTGAAAATTTCGAATTTTTTTTCCCAATGTTACAGTTTAAATACCAATATTATTATCTATTGTATATTTAAAGTGAGCAAAATTGGGAAGTTATGAATTCCGCTGATTCCATTCCGATTTTGGAATTTTTTTTTTCGTTTCAATCTGAAATTTTGATTTCCCAATTCGCTTGGAACGGAATTGGAACTAGTTTTTCACTTCCGAAAAAAAAAAAACGAAATTTCTTCGAAATGCTAATTCTAATCTGATATGTCCGATTTACGGGACGGGTAGAAATAAGAAAATGGCTATTCGGTCATTTCTCATATGACATTATGAATATCAATAAAATATAATAAGAAACTTTAAAAAGACAGAATCAAATGATTTATTTTTGTGATGAATTCTTCATAATTGCTTTTGCTAAATTAGAAAGAGAGACTCCCTTTGACCATAACCTCGGCAAATGCGAATATAGTAACTCGAAATCAAACAGTATCTCATTCCAGTGTTAATTATCATTTTTATTCTTTTGCTACAAGTATTCGTTATTTGTTACAAGTCCCTCTCCTCCTTCCATCTTCTTCTTATGTGTAATGTGAACACACACACACACACACATACATATTATTATTTTCTTTTTTACTATTCTTAATAGATTTTAGCTTTTTAGTTTTTTATTTTATCGTATTTGGCCCGTATACAAAAATAAAATATCATTTGTACTTTTGTAATCTATTTTTCTAATAAATTCAAGGGCAAATGGCAAAAAGGCCCATCACATGGGAATTAAATGCATTTTGGTCCACAAAAAAAACAGTCTCTCAATTAAGCCCATCCCCATGTCTTTAGTCTAAAATACTCTCAATAATATAATTCTTATCAATTCCACCCATTATGATCTAACTTCCTTAATATTACACATTGACCCCGAATTTAAACAAATATATCACATTAACCCCCAAAACTTTTTTTTTTCAGAAAATAATTTTTTTTTCTGAAATGTCCAGATTTCGGCGTTGACTTTTTTTTTTTTTTCCTGAAATTTTTTCCGGTGCGCCGGTCTCCGGCGTTGACTTTTTTTTTTGAATTTTTTTTTCTTAGAAGAAAAAAATATTTTAATTAATATTACTGTTTTAGCTACTAAATTACTGTCTCAGACAGTAATATTACTGTTTGGGACAATAATATTATGAATATTATTTTTTCCGAACAGTAATATTATGAATATTATTTTTCCGAACAGTAATATTATTAATATTATTGTCTAAGACAGTTAAATGACTGTTGAAGACAGTAATTTAGCATCTAAGGCAGTAATATTAATTAAAATATTTTTTTAAGAAAAAAAATGAAAAAAAAGCCAATTAACAGTTAAATTACTGTCTCCGACAGTTAAATAACTGCTGGAGACAGTAATTTAGCAAACGAATACAGTAATATTAATTAAAAATATTTTTTTTAAGAATAAAAAAGCCAATTAACAGTTAAATTACTGTCTCCGACAGTTAAATAACTGCTGGAGACAGTAATTTAGCAAACGAATACAGTAATATTAATTAAAAATATTTTTTTTAAGAATAAAAAAGTCAATTAACAGTTAAAATCACTGTCTCCAACAGTTAAATAACTGCTGGAGACAGTAATTTAGCAACGAATACAGTAATATTAATTAAAATATTTTTGAAGCAAAAAAAAAAAAAGTCAATTAACAGCTAAATTACTGTCTCCGGCAGTTAAATAACTGCCGGAGACAGTAATTTAGCAGCCAAGACAGTAATATTAATTAAAAAAAATTTAAGAAAAAACAAAATTAAAAAAAAAAAAAGTCAACGCCGGAGACCGGCGGTCTCCGGCGGTCAACGCCGGAATCTGGCCGGAAAAAAAACATTTCAGAAAAAAAAAAAAAATCTGAAAAAAAAATTGGGGGGTTAATGTAATATATTTGTTTAAATCCGGGGTCAATGTGTAATATTAAGGAAGTTAGAGCATAATTGGTGGAATTGATAAGAATTAGGGTTAAAATTGGGGTCAAAATTGAAATTTGGGTTAAAATTGGTTAATTGATGAAATTGGGCTAAATTGGGGTGTAAATCATGAAATTGGAGTTGAATTGAGTTTCAATGGATTGGGGGTAATTTTGGTAAATATAAAAGGATTTTCCTTATTTGCAAATAAGTTTGAATGGGGTGGATTTATTTGAAAGACAAAAAAGTTGGATGTCCCTCTTTTAATTAAGTGCCCTTGTCATGGGCCTATTTGCCATTACCCCTTAATTCAAATTTTAAAATACTTATTTTACAATGTTAATCCTTATTTTATAATGTTAATCCTGATTTGAAAATACATACATGTTTTTTTGCTAATTTTTATGAGTATCAAATCGTCGAAACTTCATAAACCTATAACTCCATGTCTAGAATTTTCAGTCCCGCAATAAAAAAAACATCAAGGTTATAGCTATTCGTATACATACTGAAACACACGTACACATCGAAACATATACACATAAATACACCAACAATTCACTCTTACCTACACAAAAATGTGTTTGCGGGTGCACACACTCTCACACACATGTACAAATCTGCACACAAATATGAAAGTTGTAGAATTTGTCATTGTATTTCCAATGAAACTTGAATCGGTAGAATCGAAATTTGTATGAGAAAAATATGATCAAAACAGTTAACATAGTAAAACTATATAATTTTATTTGTAGAATATAGGAACATATAGTAGAACTAACCTCACTCCCTTTTCACCACCACCCTTCACCCCTCTTCCCCAAAATCAACCCACTCCCCTTCCCCCAACCACCCCTACCACCTGCCGCCACCGCTTGTCAACACCGGCCAATAGTGGTCAACACGCATGATGCATGACATAAGCATGAAAAAGAATTAATTGCAACGAATGAATCCTATAAAATAAAAGAATTCTTCAATCCATTAGAAAATTGAAAAGAAATTGAGATTTTTTATTCAATTCGAAATTATATGCTGAATAAAATCCTAACATTTATAGCAAAATAGGAAATAGCCAAAAAAAACGAGATAACTCCTAATTTTAATAGTATTCTAAAATCTAATGCAATCCAATTTTCAGCAATTTTATATTAATTATTTAATATACTTCCAAAATAGCAAAAATATCGTTTCGAGGACCCAAACATCGGATTACCAAAATCCGACTTGCAGTACGCCTTGATATTTCCACGTATTCCAATTAATAAGCATTCTTCTAATTAATTGAATAGTTATTTTACAATTCTAATCCGAGAAAAATGTAATAGCATCAACATACTATAAAAAGAGCTTAGGTAATTACAAAAAAAATATATATAAAAGTGGTATAACTCGTCATTGTCTTTTTAATATAATTTAAATTAGTACAATTGAATTTGTATGATAAATATATAATCAGATTAGTTAACATAGTAAATTAGTAATATTACATAATTTTACAATAGAAGGTAAGAGTACCCATCCCCATCTCAGTACCAGGTCAATTTCTTTTTTGTCAATCCCCATTCCCGCCTCATATTTTTTCGGGGCAGATAATACTCGGTAATTTCGGGTCAGGCAGGGCGGGGATCTATCGAGGTGGAGCAAATTGTCATCCGTATGCTCGATTATGTTTTTCCCTCCGGCACAAATTAAAGACCACGTCATTCTATGGGCACAAACCAACGGGTTCCCTAATTCCACTTCTCTTCGCATCTTTCTCTCCAACTTTCTCTTTTACTTTTCAATAGATCAAAAGGGAGCAAATATACACAAGTAAAATACCACAATTTTCTCCCACTAGAAGGCTCCAAAAAATAATGGATAAATTCCACTTTCTCCCTTGTACTTTGGCTCGATATCAAATTTTCTTCTACTCTCGGTTGCATCGGTTTGCTCCCTGCAATTGGAAAATTATCTCAATGTGGCTCTTACTGTTAGTTTTCAGACATTTGACATTAACACCGTTTGGTCTAAGGTTTGAAAATTACAAAAAAGCCACTCATCCTTGTTTAAACAATTATATAAAAAATTAATAACAAAAATAAATTGTGGTTGCCGTCGTGGAATATACTTTCTCGTTGTCTTCAATTCTTTTTAATTATTTTACATCAAACGGGGTTGATGTCAAATGTCTGACAACTAACAAAAGGGACACATTAAGCCAAATTTTCAGGTGCAGGAGGCAAATGGATGCAATCGAGAGTAAAATTTGTAGGAAGAAAAGTGATATCGAGCCAAAAGTACAAGAGAGAAAAGTGGAATTTACCATAAAATAAATTCCGACATTTTTAACCTCTCAATACTCACTTGTTCGAATCTAAAACTCAACTCGATTGCAAAATGAGTAGGATTCTATATTTTTACAATTTACAATATAAGTAAAATGGCAAATCACAAGACTAGTATAATTACATTATTTATCCAAATAACGTAACAAAACCACTGCACGAAATAATCTTTAGAGTTACAATGTCTATTATCATATCTTTAGCGTGATAGTTTAGCAATGTTTGAATATGTTTTGATCTTAGTTTAATTCTTCCCCGAATGAATTTGTGTTAAAGTTTCTGAAAAAAATTCTCAAAACAACTTCTAAAGTTTTTCTCTCCTTCAGGCATGACGTAAATGCTACAGTAAAAAAAAATTGACTGCTACAGTAAAAATTGTTTTCACTAGAAAACAAACAAACATCACTAATTTTTCAAATTATTCTTCTACAATACATTTTCCTAACACCTTTAAACATGATTTGACCGCTACAGTGTATTTTATCTCATATCAAATTATAAACAAACATTACTTTCATTCTCCAATTATTCTCTAAAAACATATTTCCCCAAAATAAAATGAAAATAACTCCCAAAACGTATCCAAACATTGCACTTGTATCTCGAACCACACATATCGTATATTTTTGGAGTATACGCACTAGTATTTGTGCTAAAATTAATTGGTGTTATAAAATTAAAACGTACGTATAGCATGGTTTTATAATACGTGTCAATGTTCGGACAAACAGATTTCGTGTCAAAATTATCCCGTAGAAAGTCGAACTAATAACCTTAACTGTGAAACCGGCCTCACTCTTGTGCATAAGGTTATATCATATGGCTCACCACGACAGATGACCGGTAATAATGAACAATTCTGATCAAATGTTTTTTTTTTCTTTCGAAATAAGATTTATCAATTATTAATTTGCAATTCGTGTTTTTTTTTTTAAATGTGATGTTATATGGAACGCTTCTTCTCAAACCATTTATCATTATAATCATGTGATCTGCACTATATGATAATTGATACATGTTAATCTCATGGATTCAACCCTACTTAAAAAAATAAAATAAAAAATAGAAAGAAGAAAAAAAAGATGTGAAAGGACTTATTAGCTAATAAAGTCTACATATATGCCATCTTTACAATCTTTAGTTTGCGTCCACTTAAAGCACGTGCTGCCTACTTTCAATTCTTTGATAAAAAGGCCAAAGGAACTCACTTGGAAATGCTCTCTCGAGTTTTTCTGAAATAAAGAACTATTTTATAGTGATAATTAAGTGTGCTTGTTTCTGATACGCGTTTTTCCTACGCATTTTATTATAGTAGAGGATCTAGGAATTGTAGATTGGGTGTCTGTGGATGTTTGTAAATGACTATGAATGAAAGATGACGCTAGTGTTCAAAGGGAATATATAATTTCCAGATTAGGTGTATGCGCCCGTGTGAGACTATAATTGGCGACACTGGAGTTAAAAGAGAAATCTAGGTCAGATTGGATGTCTGCGGATTTTTGTGAGTAACTGCGTATGACTACAAGTGTCTATAAATGATTACGACTGAACCGGTCAACTTCATATACTAAGTAGACTTTATATTCTGCATTTATCAACAAAAGATTGATTAAAAATAATTATAAATATGTAAATTAAATAAATAAATAATTTGTTTCGTAATTTTCATTACAGTAGAACCTCGATAAATTAATAACCATTTTTGGTTAATATTTTTTTCCAGTCCCGATTCGGAGACAACGTGCTACATTAATAATTTGCCAAATTTATACGATAATACTCATTCAAAAAAATTAAGAAGCCCCATATAACATATAAATTAATAATGCATAAAAATAATTCTTAAATTACATAGTACAGTACATATTTTATAGATCTATGCAGACTTACTAAAATATAATTTAATTGTCGCATGTTTCTTGTTGAAGTTCAACTCATCATCAATTTCGTCCTTCACTTTTCTTAACATGGTTAGATATTATGATATATTTTCTCATAACTCAACAAAAAAAAATTCAATATCATTGTTGCTTCAAGAGCTTCCGAGAAACGGGCTCTATTCTATTGTACATTGAACTAATGGTACAATGAATAATATATACGTAAAAAAATTATATATATATATATATATATATATATATATATATATATATATATATATATATATATATATATATATATATATATTGAAAATAATAATAGAAATAATTTCATAAATTAATAAGTAATTAAAAAAATGTATAAATTATTAATTATTACTTGATAAATTAATATTTCGTTAAAAAAAAGAATTTTAATAGTCTCAACTGTATTAATTTATAAAGGTTATTATGTTACGAGGCTGGGGGATAAGGTTTTTGTAATAATGAAAATGCCAAAATTAAATAGAAAACAATATTTTTGTTATAAGAAACAAAATACATTTTTTTTAAATTCGGCAAAAAATAATAAATGCAGTAGGAAAATGCTAAATCCAGAGAAGAAATTACTAGAGCAAAATATGAATTTTGTGTAAGAAGGACAATTTTTGAATGATTTTTTTAAAGAATGTGAAATAAAGATTTAGTTTAATTTGCCATTTAATTCTAATAAGTTTATATCTTAAGGCTCCTAATTCAAAACAAATTAAATTGTTTGATCTTAAATATTCTTTCAAGAAATCTAGGGGAAGAAAGTTGAAAACCATATGCTGCTGAATAAGTTAAAGAAGTAAAGTGCAAAACCAAAGCACCAAAACATACATCCCCCGAATGGCCCAATATTAAAAATGCTTTTCAAAAAAGTATAGTTTTTTAGTATCTACTTTTTTAAAATAATTCATGTCCAAAAAAAGAAAAAAGAAAAAAAAGAAACCGCATGGTTTGAATTCCACCAAAATATCATTTTTTTAATAATGCCACTTCCCATTATATAAAGATCCCTTCCACTCTCTTGCTCTTTTTGTGAGATCAATATTTCTAATAAATACCCAATAAATTAAATCCAATTCCCTTATATTTTCTCCTCATAAACTCATCAATGAAGTGTTCAACCAAAGGAGAAAAGGTTCAAGCCATGAAAAACTACAAGAGGGCTAAGTTTCTTTACAATCTTGTTCTATACTCACTCACATCTTTGATCACTTTCTTCGTCTTTTCGTATTACTACCCTTTGTTTCCTTCTACGAAAGACTTTCCGTCGTTTCCTCCAAACAATCTTTCCTTTTTTCTCAACGCCAAATGCTTCTTCGTCGTTGGAAATATCATTGTTCTTATCCTAATAGGAGAGTCGAAGCTAAAACAATCTTCACATTCATGCTCCTCGTCCTCAGATATGTTGTACGACGAATATATTGCAAGAAGTCGTAGAAGTTATAACGTAAACTCCAATGAGATCAATAATATTGGAGCCGTGAAAAATCCAAGTGTTGAAGTGAAGAAAGATGGAGGCCGAGAGAAAATAGTTCGTCATAGTGAAAAGAAAAAGAAAATTACAATTAGAACGAGCAAGAGTAGTGCTAATATATGTATGCCTCGTGATCAAGAAAATAAAAAGTTGGGAATGAGGTCTTGCAAAAGTGAAGTTTGGGGTGAAAGTGAGATTGCGAAAACGCGAAAAATGACAACGGGGAAAGAAGAGGAGATTTGTGTACAAGGAGAGGAGTTGAACAAAAGAGTGGAAGCTTTTATTGCAAGAGTTAACAAACAAAGGTTGCTTGAAGCTAAATTAGTAGATCACTATAAATAGATCTTTTACATAATTTAAGGATCAATAAATTGAGTTTGGTTTCATTTTTGTAGTTTCAACATGAGAAATTCATGACTTTTAGTAGGTGAGTTACTAAGTTTTGTACTATTATTTTTCTAAATTAAATGATCAAATTATTGTGGTGATTTATATTAAAGTGTATATAACAATCTGGCTTTTGTGTTTGCAAAAACTGATTTAAAATTAGAAGTTAGTGATTATGAGTTAAGTGGGTATTAAGTGTTTATTTTTAAAAGTTGTGCTTACAAATATTCAGGAAAAATCAACTTAAATTAAAAAAAAAATATTGAAGGATGATTTTAAAAAAAGATTCTAAAATAAGATTCTAAAAGATTGTGGATTCAACTTTCAAGTTTCAACTATTATAGTATTATTAATGGTTCACGTCGGAGTTGACCGTTTAAATTTTGACTTGGACAATTGTGTAAGTGGACATATGCAATAATGCAAATTATGTTCTTTCCTTAGCATGTAAGGCACATAAGTTTTAGAAACGATTTTAAAAAACGATTGTTACAATCAATTTAAATAAGGGGCTTGATAGATACGAAAAGGGTATTTGATAGGTTACAGAGTAATTTTCAACATAATTTCAAAAACTCCTACAATTTAAGAAATTTTCATCTTTCAATCTTGCAAATTGTTATGTTTTTTGGGATTTTATTAACTTGAAAACAACAATAAATGAAATGTACGATAATTATCCCAATTTTCAGGTAATTATTTTTTTATTTTTTTGAAATTTCTTTTGGTTACTCTATGTTGGTCAACACGGAATCCCTATATACGACTCCAGATTCCGTGTTAAACAACACGAATTAAAAAAAAAATTAAATAAAATAATCTGAAAACCGAGTTATGTATTGAACAACATGGAAATAACATAATTCATTTTTTTTTTATCCCAAATATACATAATTTAAGACTACTAAAAATGTAAAATTCACCTCAAATATGTGATTGCATGATACGAAGGGTCGTGAGATTTTTTAGATTTAAAGAATTTGAGAAAAAGGTAAGATTTTGAAATGTAAAAATTTAATAAATATTAAGATTTAGGGGTGTAAAGGAGCCGAGCCGACTCGTGAGCTCGAAGAGCCGGCTCGTAAAAAGCTCGAACTCGGACTCGAGATTTTCGAGCTCGAGCTTTCTGATGAGCCGAGCTCGAGCCGGTTTTCAGTTGTTCATGAGCTCGCGAGCCGGCTCGCGAGCCGGATTTATTATTATTTTTTTATTATTTTTTATATGTTATTTTTATTTAAATAATGTATAATAATGTAAAATATTATAGAAATAAATACAAATATTAAAAATATATATAATTACAATTTAGTTTTTATTTTTTATTTTTTTTAAATAATTTTTAATAATAAAATAATAATTAAAAAAATATTTAAAAAAAAAAAAAAAAATTAATGGGCTCGAGCTCGAGCTCGAGCTCGAGCTCGAGCTCGACAAAATTGACACGAGCTCGAGCTCGAGCCAAAAAAAGAGGAGCTCGCGAGCTCGAGCTCGACAAAATAAACTCGAGCTCGAGCTCGAGCCAGCCAAAAGAGGCGAGCTCGGCTCGAGCTCGGCTCGTTTACACCCCTATTAAGATTAATCTATGACCTCTATTTCGTTGTTCGTTGATGAATTGAAACAATGTCGAAATCATGCTTGAAGTTGTCATACCCAAGTATACATACAAAGAGACTTGTTAAACAACTATCAACAAGCAAATGCATATATATAACTTTAAAATTAATAAACGGTATAAAGCTTAAAACCGATCTAAATGGCTTGTTATCTGGTACCATTTTTGATAAATTTGATTGACCTTGATTATATTATTAATCAAGCCCATTTTTTTTTCTTTGACATTATAGTTTGAAGTCCTATATTGTGTAACGGTCCAACTACTTATGCAGTAATTTATTAGATAGTGATTCAAATTGACTTAAAGTAGTATGTTATCTAAATAAAGATTAGTTTATTTTTACTTGTTGATGATTTAATATGATTTACATCTCTTGCATAATTTGCAAACAACTGAATGTGTAAAAGTTTACCTTGTACATTTAAGAAAACTATAAATCCTAGTTAACAATATTTAACTGATTAATGATAAATTATCATAAGCTACTTAATTATAAAATTTATGACACTCAAGCTACTATTACAAGTCATCACAGGGAAAAAAGAGAAAAAAATACTTTCCCCCTTATTCATTTCTTATTGAATACATTTCTCTCTTGTTTGAGTACTCTACTGCAATATGTGGATGGTCACCTGTAGATTAACTTATAATGTGAGTTTCGACAACCAAATCAGCAAAATTCTTGGAAAGCAATACCAATAATGTGTTAAAGTTAAATAACCAAGACCTATAAGTTATACATTCCATACTAAGGCAATGAATGAAAGTTCAGTCCATGTTAGTTATTACTATGGTGTCGCCCGGGTAAAAAGTTGAGCAAAAATCTAATTGCCAAGTATACAAAATACATAATATTCAACCACATAATCACTATTAACTGGCAACATTTAACACTTAATCCATCACTCATTGATATGTACAAGCAGGGAGGGAGGATTGAGGGAATGAATCAAGTACTGCAAAATGTTGTTTGGCTTACCACCACGCCGAAGATACTGGTTATTGAATACTACCAACAAAAACATAACAAACGATATGGTGTTAGTCTAGATAACCAAAGAGTATCTCAATATCAATTTACTAGTATCCAAAACCAAATACTGGCAAAATGAAATAAAGGAAGTTTTCATGTATGATGGGGTATACTTCAATAAAAAATATCTAGCTAAAAGAATCATTCATGTTTTCATCCATTATTAGCATGGATAAATCATAAAATGATACCCTCAAATGAATAGAATTATCATATTCTAGTTTGTACATAATCAACCACGGATTTTTCACATCTTTAAGAAGTAGAATAAGAATTACAATGTAATATACTCTTTATATCAGAACTCTACATGTTGGACTAATTTCCTATCGTTCAAGAAAAGCAGGTAAAACAATATATTTGTTTAAATGATGCTAGAGAGGATAAAGAACAAAAATTGGATATTTCAAAATCTCATTAAATGAACATACTAATCCTGAACTCCAACATATTATGTAGAACTAGACAAATTAGAATAAAATTAAACAATATAGTACTTGGATTACAAATCAAACAAACAAACTAAATGAATAACAAATGGATCATCATGTATATATATAAAAGACAATCAATTATGATACAAACATCAGAACTGCCAAACAACAAAACATAATTTATCCTTATAAAAAATATGTAGAAACAATAACACATTACGAAAGGATTAAGACAACATCTATCATCATTTATAAGTATAACTCACCTCATTATTTTGCAAGAGTAATGTTCCACGATCAAAGAATAATAACCCAGATAAGACGCGACAAAAAAAAATAGAAAATATAATTAAAACCCATACAAGAGCAATTTCTTCCGAAACATTCACACTTGGCAACTGTAATATAAAACGTAAAATAGATCAATGGAAAAACATAAGGGTCCATTTGGATAGATGGATTTGGAGGGAGATTTGATTTGGGGAAGGGATTTGAAATGACCCCAATTTGGAGTCATTTGAAATCCACTCCCAATTGCTCCAAAGAAAACTACAAAGGAGGGGTGTGGATTTGAAATTCCTTGTCAAATCCTTCAATCCAAAAAAATCCAAGGGATTTGTTATTATGAGTTTCAAATCCCCTCCAAATTCCTCCATCCAAACGGACTCTAAGAGAATTACCGAGTAACGAACGAAATAAGCTTCTTATCTGTCCGTGATTTTGCACTATCCGTAAGGGGATTTCGATCTGATGGCCCATATTTAGAGGGGATCGAGCCGAGAATCAACAATCCGACGGTGTCGTTTGACCGCGATGCAATTTTGTTTGAGGTTGATAGTTCTTTTCTTTTTCTGCACTGCAGTGTACTACGATTTCTCATCAAGGAATTGGAGAAAACCCCAGATTGGAGAGGGATTTTGTGAGGCGGTGGCGTATAGTTTTCTTTGGTTTGCTCCACTATGGTTGTCGGTGGTAATAGTTGGGCTTATAATGGTTAATGAGTTTGGTCGTGGTTAGGTTTTTATTTTCGAGAAATTAAGTCAAACATATTCCCGCATAATGTAGATATATTCTATAGCGTTTTATAAGAATCATAATTAGTTAGTAAAGACGGAAAATAAACTACCATAGCACTTCAGCGGAAAATGCTATAGCACTATGCTATTAAAAATCAATTTTGTTGTAGTGAATCATATTCATATGAATGTTGAACAACTTCTATGTATATTTATTTTTTGTACAATACTTGCTCATCGTTTTTTTTAAGGATAAATTGACCGATGCAATTCCTAAAGACTTAGATGCCATTATCAACAAAGAATTTATGTTCAAGGTAGATATCGGTGCGATGAACATATCAAAAAGTTGGTCGGCTTATACTATGAAAATAATGTCGGTTGATCAAGAACTTATACAACAGTTTCGTGTTATGCATTCTATCGAGGTATTAGTTCACAAATATAGATTATATGTTGCATCATAAAATTACAGTATTTTCTAATTCAATTACAGACATTTGTTGATGACAATGATCATTCAATTGACAACAATGCTAAACAACATGATGACAATTTAGATATAAGAATTAATTATAACACGACAATTATTTTTATTATTTATACACAAGTTAATAAAATTTATACACAGGTTCATACACAACAATTAACTTATTTAAAATTCTTGATAGCATCTAATCAAATTACAACGATATTGGCCATTAATTAAGGTCAATATTCTTGGAATCGATTGTCGAACATCAATCGTAGGATAAATTAACATATGCATACAAAAAATGTGATAATTTGCAGCAACCACCTCATAATCTCCACAAATAATCTTCTTAATTATGACTAAAATTAAATAATCTCGAACTAACTTATTTAAAAAAAATTGATGGAATCTAATCCTCAATAGATTTTGACAGATTACAATAATATTGACCATTAATTAAGGTCAATATTCTTCGAATCGATTTGAGATTATAAACAAAAAAACAAACTCATTGCAATTAGACTTAGTTTTACATGTCATACGAGCTACATTAATTTTTTCGCACATTAACCATGAATCATACACCAACATTAGAAATACGAAACAAAGTTGCACATTTTATTCATGAAAGTATGAGAAATTGCTCCAAAGCTATAAGAGAATTGTTGCACCCAGCTAGATCGG